ATCGCCCATGGGACTGATCCTTATATGTATATTCCATCCTTACCTAGCACGAGGCCTTTTGGGAGTTCACTGGCTTCGGGTTCCGTAGGAACTCCGAAGTTAAGCGAGTAGAGGGCGAGAGCACTCCCAGGATGGGTGACCCATCGGGAAGTTCTCGTGTGAGTTCCCAGAAACAAAACCGTGAGGGAATAGTAAGTCCAAAGCGGACAATATCGTGCTACGGTAGTAGAAGCGGGCCCGGGAAGTGATTCGCCCCGGGCCGGGATGTGACATTGGTATCAGAGCCTATCCCTGGCCGGAAATGTGCCGACGAGGACGTCGGGCCCCTAAGGGGGGTGGATTGTGACATCCCACATCGCCCAGGGACTGATCCTTATATGTATATTCCATCCTTACCTAGCACGAGGCCTTTTGGGAGCTCACTGGCTTTGGGTTCCGTAGGAACTTCGAAGTTAAGCGAGTAGAGGGCGAGAGCACTCCCAGGATGGGTGACCCATCGGGAAGTTCTCGTGTGAGTTCCCAGAAACAAAACCGTGAGGGAATGGTAAGCCCAAAGCGGACAATATCGTGCTACGCTAGTGGAAGCGGGCCTGGGAAGTGATTCGCCCCGGGCCGGGATGTGACATAAAACATGTCATTGTAGGGCTCTAAAATTGGGGGCTATATAGCCCCAGTTCGGCAATTCCCTCCATAAGAGTTTGAAAAATTAATATCTGAATAAATTAAGGTGAACCACACACCCACTTGCTGACCTACAAAAAAATAATAATTGAAAACTCACTATAAATGAAAGATTATATTTTTGCATAATTTTCACTTCAATTCTTCAACAACCCTTTCCAAAATCAACTTCTCCATTCCTCTTCATGACTTGACTCCAATGCCGCTACAAAAAAAAAAAAAAAAAAAAATCTTTTGGCTTCATACAAATTGATTCGCCCTAGGAAGTGAATTGCCGATAATATCCCTCCACGTGAGGGGCATATGACACGTTTTAATGGCAAAATAGATGGAAAATAACTTAGGTCGTCAATTCCAACAATTAAGAGCAATTAAGAGAGTCAAATGGTAAAAGTTAAAAATTGAAAATTCACGTGATATTAATGCACATGCTTGCACGTTCAAGTGATACTTATGAAAAAATATCCCCTTTTAAAAAATAAGAAATCCAAATGACTTGACAATGCGCAAAATATTTCACAATTGAAAATCAATGAAAGATTGACAAGTGAATAGATGAAGAGTTTTTAAAGTACTTTTCTACAAGATTTACAGCTATGGGGATGATTTTCTAATCAATTAAATGGTGGGAGGGGGTTCAGAGATTAATGGACGGCTTGGAACAAATAAACGCAACAAGAGGGGGATGGGAGTATGCTGGTTATTTAACATCTTACCATTAAAAGATATCAATGCACAGCGGAAGAAATATGTGTGAATGTATGAACTCAACTCATGAATCGATGAATGAGCCTACGTATTGAATATATACTGTTACATAAGTGATTCAGTCACAAGGGAGAACTATCTCCAATAAGTACAAGGATAAATACTTGTGATAACAATAGGAAGTTTGATCTAACTAACAGACCTAATCTGATGAAGAGCTTGAGTTGTAGTCGAACTGTATTGCAGCTGAGGAGAGCGGGAAGGCAGCAGCGTTTGAAACTGGGTAATCTGACTTGGCTTATCACGCCCCCGCAAGCTGAGCGGACGTTAGGCGAATGGGAAAGTTGGAAATTAAGAAGGCAAAACATGAAAATGATAGGCCTCTTATAAGAAGATCAGTAAGCTGATGATCAGTTGAAGCCGCATATCCAACGACGACTTCTTTGCGAGTGACCTTTTCGTGAACGTAGTGGTAATCCACTTAAACATGACTCATTCGAGCTTGATAAGCTGGATTTGAGGCTGATAAGGATTTTACCAACTGCAAAAGTAAGGATAAAAACACTTAAAATACTTACAAGAGTACAAGGTAATTGTAGTATAGATGACTCTAGCAAGGATGTTCTTCACTTGAATTGAATGAATAATTTGTATTAAATCAAATCTTAATTAATTACTTAAAACAAAGTTTTGAAAAAAGTTGATTTTTTGATTTAAAATAATAAAAACGAATTTAATAGAAAATAATTAAATAAAATGACAAAATAAAATAAGCTAAAAGAAAACGGTTTTTGAAAATTAAATTGTAAAAGCCTAGGATTCCGCCATCGCCTTAACAATCCTATGTAGTTTTTCCAATTACTTATGAATTATACATGCATATTTTGAAGGTTAGGTTTTCCTAAAATATGCCTACTTGGACCCCTAACATAGAGCATATATCAAACATGCAACCCATATGTGGTATTCAGATCAAATCTAAACATGCATGACTCATTAAATTTTGTGAAATCTTTTGAAAAACCATACAACCCTTAAGACGTGGTATTCATAATAAGTGAACTTGCACATATTAATCACAAGAAGCCTTCATCAATTTCAAGGACTGACCTCCGACCAAAATTGTATCAATTTACTTTTCTAAAGATCTCAATGGTAGCTAAGCATTAAGATAATTAAACAGTTTAAACCGATGATTAATAATTCAAACCTGCATGCATAATATCATAAGCAAATTGAAAAGAAACTACATATTCTTGCTAAGGCTCATGACTTCGCCCTAGCAAATGGAAATTAGTTACTAATAATCATACAATGAAATATTATTAAAAATAAGGATAGAAAACACCTTGAAAATAAACTTAAATCCAAAAGCTCTCTAAAGTGTGTGTGCATTCTTTTCTTTCCCCTCTAAACCCTAATGGCTAAAAAGCCTTATTTATACTACTAAAAAAAAAACTCTACCTAGAAAATGTCTTAGAATAATACTAGGAAACCAAATAAATTAAAATAAATTAGAAAACATAATTCTAAATTGACTAGTAAAATTCGCCCAAAATATGCATAGTCTCCAAACAGCCACGTTTTTGGATCTTTAGAGCTCCAAAATAGGCCCAAAATGGCTAGAATTAAAGCTTGAGATGTTCCGAACATAATTACAGAAAGCCTCGAACCCAAAAGATATCATCATGGCCGCCAAAAAGCCCAAAGAATCCCAAAACGTCAGTTTGACGGCACTGCATGCTGCTCCTTTATTTCATAGCCATAAATAAACCGCTTGGTAGAAAATTATGAAACTTTGATACGATCAAGAAAACAGACACATGAACATCCTTCAATTGGAATCACTCCAAAATTCATCCATTTGACTACTTTTTGCTCCAGACGAAGTCGAATGTCTTACATTAAGAATATAAATCAAAGTATCACACTTCTCACAAAATAACCAATAAATTAATACTAAGAATTGGGTAAAATATATAGTAAAATATTGACTCATCAAATACGCCCAAACTTAGCTTTTTGCTTGTCCTCAAGCAAAACAAAACTAGAAAACAAAAATAAAAACTAACAAACTAGAAACTTTATTAAAACTCAACTAAGACAAAATTTTCATCTTCAAGTTGCAGTCCATGGAACACGTTGAAAATCAGAACATCTTTCCAACAATTCCAACTAATCCCACCACAGAGTCTAAGCCGTTTAGAATCAATTAGAAAAGAATTCACAAACTTCCTTCGGTGTAAAGTGAACCAACATAGTTAAGGAGACTTAACTAAAACCCTTACCTCTCGTCCTTTTTTATTTCACACATACTAAATTGAAACATAACTATTTTTTTTCCTTATTTTCTCCTTCTCTTTTTTTTTTTCCTTCTTTTTCATTTTTTTTTAGTAATAGTAATGGTCATGCAATGCCAGTTCCCTTAAGCTTTCTATCCAACCCATGTAGCGAGCTTTAGGTCAATGACTCCCAAACCACAAAGGCTTTAGGACACTAGGTGTAGAACACCCCTAAGGACTTACTAACTCGAACTGAAAAGGATACGAAACCAACTAACCACTCTGCCCCATGCCAAGACTCTATCGTTTGACGCGAGAATCATTGCTGATCAGGCAGGACTGGCCCGGTTACTGAGTAAAGTCTCGGGTGGAACAATTATTACTTTATTTTAACAATAACTAACTTTACTTTATTACGAACAAAAATTGAAATACACTTAGACTAAAAGTAAGGGTTTCAATCTCACTCCCCACAAACCATGTTGATGTAGATGTGCAAATTTTCAATGTATAACTCATGAATTAGTGTCTAAGCAACGATAAATAAAAAAGACTCTATTGTGAGATTAACCTTCACTATGTTCATTTTTTCTAATGTTTAAAATAACCTATGGATATTAACATAAAAAGAATGAAATTTTTTTAAATTGACACAAAAATTAAAATCCTAAAATTTTTATTTCCCACCCCTAAATTTAAATCACACTTTGTCCTCAAGGTGTGAAAATATAAACAAAAAACATGAAAATAAATTCATAAAAAGACTAACAACTAGCTATTAAATAAAAACTGAAATTAAAAAGATAATATAAAGTCAAAAGATACAAATCTTAATAAAACAAAACTCAAAGGAAAGAAGGTACCTGGGTTCGACATGGTGTCCTGATGCATGGAACTCATGGCGCCCATGTGCTTAACAATCTGAGGTAATGCAGTGGGCCATGAGTGAACCCAATCCAGCGAAAGATGGATCAAGCCAACGGGTTTTGGCTGCAAGTACACACGTGAATCATAATAAAAAGAAAATTTTAACAAAAAACTTCAAGTACCGTTTATTTTAACAAAAGTGAACACAAGTGAATTGTTATTAGCACTCCAAAAATCTCATTCCACACTCCAAACTTTCTATATTAGGAAAGAAAACTATGTTTGTGAGGAGTGTAGAATAAGATTTTTGTAGTGCCAATAACACTTCCCTAACAAAAAATCACATTTTTACACTAAAAACTCAATCATGGTACTATTTACTTTACCCTTTTTATCCTTATCGTTAAAATTCAAAATTTCCAAGCTCTTTTCATTAGTTTTTCTCAATAAAAACTAGAACAACATTGCTTATCTCTAACCTTCATCCATCTCTATAACCATGCCACCATAGCCATTTTGTCCAAAGTCGTAACTAATGTTCGAACTACAACCTGCAACCCCCAAACTTCGGGTTTGAGAAATGAAAACCGGGAACTTTGAAGCTACACCCGCAACCCCAGATCCATCACATTGCACAGCCAGCACTGGGATCTTTGTCATCCATTGCAGGTAAAAATGCTCACTCTCCTTCTGCGATATTTGTGCTTCTGCTTAGATGAAATGGAAGAGAGATGTGACGTACCTCCTGCATGTGTGTATCTTGTGCAGGACTTTCAGATCCACAGCAGGAAACAACCCAAATTGCAGATCTTAAGGTTGAACGAAAGGTATAAATTTTCAACAACGATTTGGATGAATAGATTATGTGAATCTGTGTCTTTGTAGTCATTGTCGTTCATGTGATTTGGTCAGTGTGTGGCTGCTGTCTCGCATCCATAGGTTTGAAAGTCTTTAATTTTTCTTCTATGCATGCTGCCCTGAATAATATGATGAATGTTGAGCTAAACAATGCACCAACTGGATCCTTGGTTTGCATGAACAATTGTGCTCTCCTTTATGTTGCTTGGATCACACCCCCAGACTTGTATTTAGTAATATTTTAAATAAAATGCGAGGGAGTGATTGAGTGAGAGGGGGGCCAAGCAATGCAAGGGGCTTTATCACCAACCCCACTGTGAGTATGTCTGGAACACTGCCTTTGCATATTTCTGCATTCGATTAATTGTCTGGACTTTTCATTGATGATGAATGATGATGAATGCTGATGTGCTGAGTTGAATTTGTAAATGCTGCTGAATGCAGGATTCAGATGAATGTGTGCGCTTAGTCGATATTTAGGGCTTAATTGCTTCCAAATGCAACCTACAAAGATCACACAAGAAAAATCTAATTAGAATAAACCCAAAATAAAATATTGATCAACTAAAAATATGGCTATTTTTGTGTTTTTCAATTTTTTTTTTTTTGTGATTTTTGTAATTGAAATAAAAGCAAGAAAACTAAATTGAACGAAATTAAAAAGATAAGAGTTGGAAAAAATTGGGTTGCCTCCCAATTAACGCTTTAGTTAATGTCTATAGCTAGACTTAGAGGAAGGAATTGATGATCGCGTCACTTGTTCTATTAGAATCAACCACTCTTTAACATCATCATATAACAACGGTAGGTACGGATTGACTTGATATGTGCAATTAAATTCAGTAGTTGAGTTCTTAATGTCCACCTTTCTATGAGAGTGTATCTTTGAAACCAAATAAGTTCCCTTCCATTGATGCTTGTGTTTCCCTTGAATTGACTTAAATCTAATATTTAATAGCCACAATTTCTACACTGGACAAAGTTCTCTATGAAGAATAGGACTACCATTAAACTTTTTCTTCATTCCCTTGTAGATCTTAGCTTGCCTGTAGGACTCACTTAGATTTTCTTTAAATTTGAATGCTTGTACTGCTAGATTGTCCAATTCAGCAACATCAATTGTATCAGTAGTCATCTACCATGTATCCAATAGTGTGTTAGAGAGCTGATCATGCGACATATTAGATGTTAAATTTGTGTGAACCTGCCCTAACATATTAACACTCATGTCTTCCTGCAAGCTTTGTGGGAAAGGTTTTGGTGGCACATGAACTTGGCTAGCTAAAGGATCTGGGAGAATTTTTGGATCATCATGTGCTGCTTCCCTTTGGGCGTAAGCAAGTGGCAAATTTCTCCTCAGTTCCTGCACCAATCTTCCCTTCATCATTAAAGCTCTTCCCACAGTTTAATGCTTGAATCAGAAATCCTTGATTGGTTATTTCAATGTACAACTCAATTGATTCCAACAATTTAGAGAGCTTGTCCTCTATCGGAAGCTCTTGTGGCACATTAAACTGCTCAAAAAATTGCTCAAGATGCTCTTTCAAGTTTGGATTGTAGGATTCTGAACAAGGATTGTTCCAATGCTTTTTTGAGTTGTTCCTCATATTAATATGCGTTCCCGTTTCTACTAATGAAACCCAAAGAGATGGTCCACCGGGTGTTAGATTGAATTCAGGGGAACTGCAAATTCCATTGTTGCACTGCTCCAAAAGAAACAAATTGTAACCTACAAAAACAAAATCAACAATTAAATAAAAAGATGTATACAATAATAATAAACTAAGGGTTGATATACACAAATTATTTAAAACAATCCCTGGCAACGGCGTTAATTTCATGAGAGGGATTTTACCACTTGCAAAAGTAGAGGTAAAAAGACTTAAAATACTTGCAAGAGTACAAGGTAATTGTAGTATAGATGACTTTAACAAGGTCGTTATCCATATGGATTAAATGAATAATTTATATCAAATCAAATCTTAATTAATTACTTAAAACAAAGTTTTGGAAAAAGTTGATTTTTTGATTTACAATAATAAAAACGAATATAATAGAAAATAATTAAATAAAATGACAAAATAAAATAAGCTAAAAGAAAACGGTTTTTGAAAATTAAATTGTAAAAGCCTAAGGTTCTGCCATCGTCTTAACAATCCTATGTAGTTCTTCCAATTACTTATGAATTACACATGCATATTTTGAAGGTTAGGTTTTCCTAAAATATGCCTACTTGGACCCCCAAACATGGTATTCATCTTAAGTGAACTTACACATATTAAAATCAAGAAGTCTTCGTCAATTTCAGGGACCGACTTCCGACCAAAATTGTATCAATTTACTTTTCTAAAAATCTTAATGGTAGCTAAGCATTAAGACAGTTAGACAGTTTAAACCGGTGATTAATAATTCAAACTTGCATGCATAATATCATAAACAAATTGAAAGAAACTACATATTATTGCTAAGGCTCGTGGCCTCGTCCTAGCAAACGGAAATTAGTTACTAACAATCATACAACGAAATATTATTAAAAACAAGGATAGAAAACACCTTGAAAATAAACTTGAATCCAAAAGCTCTATAAAGTGTGCGTGCGTTCTCTCCTTTCCCCTCTAAACCCTAATGGCTAAAAAGCCTTATTTATACTACCAGAAAATAAAACCCTACCTAGAAAAGGTCTTAGAATAATACTAGGAAACCAAATAAATTAAAATAAATTAGAAAACATAATCCTAAATTGACTAGTAAAATTCGCCCAAACAACTAAGTTTTTGGATCTTCAGGGCTCCAAAATAGGTCAAATTGGCTAGAATTAAAGTTTGAGATGTCCCGAACATAATTGCAGAAGACCTTGAACCCAAAAGACATTATCTTGGACACCAAAAAGCCCAAAGAATCCAAAAATGTTAGTTTGACAGCACTGCATGCTGCTCTTTTATTTCATCACCATAAATAAACCGCTTGGTAGAAAATTATAAGATTAAGTCAACAGACTCACGAACATCCCCCCAATTGGAATCACTCCAAAATCCATCCGTTTGATGACTTTTTGCTCTAGAGGAAGTCGAATGTCCTACATTAAGAATATAAATCAAAGTATCAAACTTCTCACAAAATAACCAATAAATTAATACTAAGAATATGGTAAAATATATAGTAAAATATCGACTCATCAGAGGCTATAGCAATGACACTTGTATTATCCCACCACAGTCGTGGAGGTGCAAGAGAAATATATATGCAGGTCACAAAATATGTTACGAAACCAAGACAGTGCTGCAGATGTGTAAGCGAGTTGACGGTAATCCGCTTGAGTGCTAGACCAATAAACTACGCGTTGTTTCTTGGAACTTCAGGAAATATGTTTGACAGTTACCCTGATTGATAGTGAATTTGCAATGTCAGGTATCATAAATAAAAGGTATTGAAGTGTCCAAACAAAATTATGCATTGGCAGGTATAGACAAAGGTTTACTGTAGACATTGAAATTTCAATGAAATAAATGTTGACCAATGTATTAAATTTACAACCTTTATTCATTTCACCTACATCACACACGCATTTCACCTATAACTTCCATTTACTTCACCAACCTCACACACTTATTTCACCTACATCACACACTTACTTCACCTACTAACTCTATTTATTTCACCTATAACATCCACTCACTTCACCAAAAAAAAATGGATGATGGTGATTCACTCTCAAAGCCTATAAATAGGCTTCTCCATCAAGAGAAAAAAGGGGGGGGGGGGGAATTTACATCACACCAAAACCTTAAGGCCTTGAAACTCTAAAGCTCTCAAGCAAATCCTGAAGGATCAAGAAAGCACTTTTCATTCTTCATCAAATCTTCTTTCAAGATCAAGCCCTAACGGCCCTTGAAGAACTTCCACCAACTCAAGATCAAGCCCCGACGGCCCTTGAAGAAAGTGTTCATCATTCATCATCCGTTCATCCTAAGATCAAGCCCTAACTGCCCTTTGGATCAACAACCTCAACAAATCCACACATCCAATCATTCTTCAAGATTAAGCCCAAAACCCCTTGAAGATCCGTTCATCCATCAACCTTCAAGATCAAGCCCAAAAGCCCTTGAAGAAATCCACACAACCATTATTCAAGATCAAGCCTAAAAGTCCCCTTGAAGACCTGTTCATCAACCTTCAAAGATCAAGCCCTGAAGGCCCCTTGAAGAACTTCCACCAACTCAAGATCAAGCCTCTACGGTCCTTGAAGAAAGTGTTCATCATTCATCATCCGTTCATTCTAAGATCAAGCCCCAACGACCCTTTGGATCAACAACCTCAACAAATCCACACATCCAATCGTTCTTCTAGATTAAGCCCAAAAGTCCTTGAGGATGCGCTCATCCATCAACCTTCAAGATCAAGCCTAAAAACCCTTTAAAGAAATCGCACAACCATTATTCAAGATCAAGCCCTGAAGGCCCATTGAAGAAACTTCCCTCAACCTTCAAGATCAAGGCCCAATGGCCTTTGAAGAAACTTCAAACCGTTCATCCAAGATCAAGCCTCGACGGCCTTTGGATCAATCGCACATCCAAAAATCAACACCTTACAAAGATCGAATCAGAGGATCAAATTACAAAGAGATTGTAACCCCAAAATCATTAATTAATACAAAATATATTTTGTACACGTGTTCTTGTTTCAGGAATTTTTCATGTTTACATTTACAATTAGCTATATTGGTGCATTTGAAAAGATCTGAAATATACTTGGACTGAGAAAGGTGGAAACCGGTTGGCGTGTGAATTACCTCCATCCCCAAGAAGAAATGTAATGGCCCAAGATCTTTCTTAGAAAATAGTTTTCTAAGCCTATCTATAAATCATGATATTTGAGTGCTATTACTTCCTGTCACCAAGATGTCATCCACCACATATGTAAAGAGATAAAGTACAGTGGAACTATCAAAGAAGGTAAACAAAGGAAGAATCTATGGTGGATCGATGTGACGAAACCCAAGTCTTCCAGGTGATGAGAAAAACATTGAAACCAGGCACGAAGGGCTGTTTGAGTCTGTAGAGAGAACGACAAAGTTTACATATGTGTGTGGGATATTGCAGGTCGACAAAACCTGATGCTTGACATATATAGACCTCTTTAGCCAAAGGACCTTGAAGAAATGCATTTTGGACGTTCAATTAGCGAATAGGCCAATTAAAATGGATTGCAAATGAGAGAATAAAAAGTCGAATAATAGAATGAGTGACGACTGGAATAAAGGTTTCCCCATAATCTATACCATCTTGTTAATGGAAACCATTTGCAACTAGTCAAGCTTTGAAGCATTTGATGGAACCATTAGACATACGTTTAATCCTGTAGACCCATTTGATTGGAAGATTATTCAAATGAGGTTGAGATGAGCCAAGGGTCCATGTACCTGTGCGTTGTATGACATTAAATTTTTCTGCCACTGCCTGATGCCACGATGAATGTTTATTTACCTAACTAAAACATGTAGGTTCAACAAAATTATCATGAAGATTAGCAACACAAGCATATTGCATGTTGATGAATCCCATCTTTGGCACATGTGATCATAGGATGGGAAGGTTGGTGCGCCACCTGAGTTGTGTGAGGGGAATTAATCCCTATATTCGAAAAGGGAAGGGTCATAAGGGAGCCTAAAGGGACAATATAATAAGGGTAAATTGTAAATAGTTGAGTTTGTTATAAGGAAGTTGAGTTCGTTACAAAGTGGTTATAACATTTTTTGTAATTAGCTAAATGATTAGTTAGTTAAAGATGTAATGAGTTGTTAGCACAAGTGAGTCACTAGTATATATATACCAAAGATGTAATCTTGTTCTCTTTATGTAATGAAAGCATAACTTTCTCATTATGGTATCTCTTGCCTAAGTCTTACAACCTTCGATCATCTTCTCCCATTTCCTGCTCAGCTTACTTTTGAAGCTTCAAAACCTAGAAATCTAGCCATGGCGACTTTTGGTTCTACTTCCTATGAATCTACTTCTCCAGTTCATCATGCCCCGATAACTTCTTGTCCTAATTCTTTAACATTCTCAGCAATTTCATCGATTACGATCCAGAATATATGATCTCTTATTCCAATTAAGCTCATAACAACTAAATATCTTACCTAGAGTACTCTGTTTACTCTGATATTTCGCCAGTTCAATCTCACCGGTATCATTGATGGCACGATGCTTACTCCATCGAAATTTCTTCTTGATTCGTCTGGTAATCACACTTCTACTCTGAAGCCTCAATATGTTACATGGTTTAAGAATGATCAAAACATTTTGATTTGGATTAGTTCTATACTCTTGGATGCTCTTATTCCATACATTATTAGAGTTAACTCGTCTCGTGAGCTATGGCCGAAATTGGAATCACGCCTCGCAACTTCATCGCAATCGCACATTCATGAGCTTCATTCTTGTCTTCGTAACATCACGAAAGGTGATTCTACGACTGCAATTTATCTTCAACGAATTGAAGAAATTGATGATGCTCATGTTAATGCCAAAGCTCTAATCTAAGACTCTAAGCTGATCTCTGTGATTTTACATGGTTTGCCCTCTGAGTATGAATTTTTTATCACTGCAATTCAGTTTCGGCTTGGTTCTACCACTATTGATGAACTTCATGGTCTTCTTTTAAGAAAGAAGCT